TCAGTTAAATGTCAGGTTTACAGAAAATTAATAAAATATGTGAATGTTAATTTTAGTCATTAGCCTTAGTCAAGTTGAGAGGATGCCGACGAATAAAAAATATGTTAAGAAATGTGTGATGTGGCCGCCCGCGCCGGCGCACGCCTCCACCGCGACCGACTGTTTGTGGAAACAACTCAAATGTGTTAAATATGGAACGTAAGCTACGCGGAACTGTTGTCACATGCACCACTAGAAGTGACACCATAATATTATCGTCGTCTGTCGACATGAGTGAACAAACCTATTGATTGAATCAATGCGATTCTATTCATAATCATAAAAATACGAAATCAGGAAACGTTAAACAAATGAAAAAAAGCTTCAGAAACAATACACGATGTGCTAAAATTGAGGAAGCCTTTAAATATGCAATATATCTGCCTAAGGATATAACCTGTTTGGTATAACAAAACGACGTGACTAAGTCGTAAAATATATTTTTTGTATTATAAATAGTTTAAGAAATCGTTAATTGGTTGTGGTAAGTTTTTATTGACATTAGCCAATTATTCAATTACCTAGAGGCGTCGACGGAGTGTATAAAGAACAGGTAAGCTTGAAATTAACATTTATGTCGCTTCTATGGTTTTGTTTCTGTGGACAGCCCATTAGCTTATTCAATTCACCCTGAGTGAATTGGATTTTCCTTCCTATAATGGACTCTAATCCGTCGGCACATGTCTTCAAGGGCGGTCTAATGCCCCTGTTGCATGGGACACTATTAGTGTTTTTCGTAACGGACCATTACAATATGTTATCGTGACGTAGAAAAATTTTACATGTCATTTGGACATATTTTTACGAGTGTTTGTTTTACACATGGGGCGGGCTCATTTCACACGGTACGTTATATATCCTGAGCTACGTTTCACTACATTTACTTTGACGTGGATTTTGATCTTTTACACATTTTATGTCGCTAGTTAATTTCTTCTGTGGGTCGTTTGGAATTAGTTTTATGTTTATGTCTTCTTTACAGAAATCAGATGTGATATATATATAATCAATTCTTTCTCTAGATTTCTCATGAGAAATTTGGAAACAAATATTTTTTAACTTTCAGACGGTCCATAAGGATCGTTTCAGAAATCTGATACTTCGAGAAAAACAGTAATAGAAAACTTTAGTAATCATTGTCAACATTTACAAAATAAGAAACATATTCAAGAACTTAAACCTCCAATTTATTTGACGGTCCCCAAAGGCAACATTGATATCATTAGTGTGGTCTAATATGAAATATATTTGTAAGTCTATGAGTTATATCCCCGGAACAGCGCAGGGCATGTCGAATGCAACTAATTACAGACAGGCCACGGACCTGCTGTGACATGTGGCCTATATTACGACATACGACATATCATTCTGACTTATTAATGCGTTACGTTCATTTATAACCCCGATTTTTTATAAGGAAATAGTTCACATTTTAACGGTGACTCATTTTTAATTATATTCCTTGTTTATATTAGCAATTAAATAAACATTTTAGTCATCTGGGAGACGCCCACATAAATACATACTACACAGACATGATTCTCGCACGAATGGGTTTTTATCTGATTCGACAGTGCGAAAACACTTGTAGAAACGTTAATTAACTTTATACCTTCATAATGATATGTGTCATGTAACACTTTTTTGTCAGCAATTAGCAAGCAGACCGTCGCGTGGACGTCGTCGCATCCGTGATGTTAATTTATTGCGGGACGACCACCGACCGCCCCTCATTAGTGAACTGTATAAAAACAGGCCCAGTTATTTACGCGGCCCGTGACTCACGGCGAATCAAACACTACCAGCCGCGTCTAAACAATAGCGAACCAAATAATTTATCTGCACGTGTTCCCGCTTTGATAAGCCAAGACAGATTTGTTACACCAATTTGTAATTAGTGCTTTATGATCTCTGATTTCATGTGTATAAGAGCCGTTTATCTAATCACTTTTGTTTCTCGTTCGACTCGGAAATATCTCTAAGTGGATAATGCTGTGAAGTAAAACGAGCTTGTTGGGAACTCATGGGAAAGTGTTAGTTACTCATAAAATGGAGGTTCATCGATGCGATGCGAGAACTGGCAATTATCTATAGATACATGCGCATACGCACCGTTTACTCACTAAGCGTCTTATATTTTTTATGCGTGTTCTGTTTTGCTTTAGAGTCATGTGTAAGTAAAGATAAGTATAATTTGAAATATTTTAGTCTTATAAGAAAAACAATTAAACGTGTTGAGCTCTAAAAAATCTTATAAGACGTTCGAAGCGTTTTATTTCTTATTGTCAATAAAAAATCATGTACAAATAAACATCCCGCCTTCGTGTGCGGCCCATCAGCGCATAGTTTCAGCGGCATCTTTGGCGCGCAATGGGCCCTGAAGCGTATGCGCAACGATTTCAGCGCATTTCACGCCTTTTTTGTGCGCTGCGCAAGCGACGAGTCTCGTATGAAGATTGTTAATAACGCGTGAAGTGACAACTGTGAGTTTAATTGCAACCGTAAGTTATTAGTGTGGACTTATATGTCGGGGAGACGGGGAGACACTGTCACATCTATTTTATTGTTCTTCAACAATCGACATTTGTTGGAACCTTATAAGTGTTATGAACAACTTTGTCCTGACATTTATATTTAGAGAAATATCAATTAGAGAATAAAGGAGCATGGTTTAATTAGATTGTGAATATTAAAACCAAAATCTTGGGTACAGTAACTTAATTACAGAAGGCTTTATTTGACTTGATTAGGGGAGCATACCAGCCTCAATCCGAAACAATATGGAACACGAATATCCCAAATATTTGACAATATCGTAGTAACCACGATATTTACGTCGAATTGCCTTTGTGTAGAGGCTAAACCGAGTAACCTCTTCTAAAGCTATTAATGTGCAAATAGGCCAGATACAAATTAAGGGTTTTGTAAACCGCAAGAGCGATGAAGCGTTGGTTGATTTTTAATTAAAATGTTGGTAACTCAACTCAAGGCTGTAGTGTTAATGAATCGACGATTTCTGTTCGTTTCGATATTGCATTGTTTCCTGTCTTGTTTATTAAAGGCTTGTGTACATTTGTTTTAAGTTTTGACGTTGTTCGCTTTTTAAATTAGGTCTGGTTATTGTATACTGGTATATAGAACGAGGTCTTGTTCCAAATTAAGTTTTTTAAATGTGTTTGTATACGAGTCGTCTCTTGTTTAAAAAAGTATGGTTCATTGTTTTTGTAAGTTGCAATATTGTTAAGTAAATGTTTTGATTTCTCTTTAAGTTTGTTTATTTATGGTTAAGAAACAAGAGTGAGAAAATAAGACTTATTACCTAGAGGTGATGCAATGTATTTTTTCATGAAAGAATATAGGCAATTCAATAAGTTCTACTGAAACACAAAGCAACAAAAAATATTCCAAGAATTTTTTTCCTCGCTTTTATTCATTATTTTTTTTGATGCGTTGTTACTTTTTCTTGTTTTTTTCTTTCTTAGTTTTAAATACTTTAGTTTTTATTTATCTTACCTCTAGTTATTTATCAATATATTCTGTAATTATGTATCCATAAAATTAAAATTGTACATTGCGACATTTTACAATTAGGTATTAACAATTTGATCTAACCTAAAAATATCTATTACCAACCTAACACAAAACATACAAACCATAATCCACACTAATTATCAGAATAACATCTATATTTAAACGTCCAATAAAACTAAGTGGACTTAAACAAATTATCTATGCGAGTTCGCCTTTAGCTCAGCTTTGTTATGCTAACTCGTTGGTGTGGAGGTAGGTTTACGTAGCTTTGCTTATGAAACCCCGGCCTTGTGGCTGCGCTAAAAACCTCAGACAATAAGTATTTACCTACCAATGACACGTTCACTTAATTACTTGTAAACTTCTAATTAACTTATTTTAATTACGTACTCATTTTAATGTAATCATATCTATTTTAAAATTAATTAATTAATCTATGATATTGGAAATGATCGAAGGAGTTTCATTGTAACTGTAATTTTTTATGAAGGGTTTTAAAAGAGAACTGTGAATTTGTTTAATTGGTGTAATAAAATAGCCCTTTTACAGACAGGTAAACAAATAAACGGGACATTGTTTTTGGCTCAGTTTTATTGTAACCGCAGCGTAAGATGAACGCAAGAGCATAAGGGTGTGACTGTCATTGTCAGTAGTTTTTATTATAGATCGATTTGTGGCGAAAATAATTAGACTAAATCAAAGTGAGTAGAATAAATTAGAATAAATATCGTTAATTATGATATTTTTTCAAAAAATCGACTATAGTCGGTTCATAAGAACTTAATAACATTAATGTCGGCAGAACCGAGAGTTACACTATAAAATACTGAAAAATCATACACATTGAAACTAAATGTGTCCTGTACACGAACACAGATTTACATTGCAATTAACTCACACAAACATGCAGTAACAATTTCTTGGTGTGCTTACAAACTCCGCCCCAATCAAATTTTGACCAATCCCCGATCGTTGTAGGCATAGATCGTTGTGGCAACACGCCTCGTATTTTTCGTCACGGAACAGCGACTCAGGCGCGACTCACACATTGTTAATGTAAGCGTTCTTCGCTTTGAAGATACCGGATCCGAGGCTTCGTGCTATCTCGTTTCCACACCGGTCTCTCTCCCAGTACGCCATAGATGGCTAAATCTTCATGAAAATCTAAAATAATAGCTGAAATTTAAGTTTCATGTCCTTTGACGAATAGGAAATTTGATAATCTATCTATATTAGAAGTATTTACAGCAGAATTGGGTATTTTATTTAAAAGTTTAGCGACCGGTGATTCGTTGGATGACAAAAACAGTCGGCTGGTAGAAAGAGACAAACGATCAGGTGGAGCGGTTTCGAAGGCTGCGGAGGCGGCCAGTTTGACCATTTTTTGTTGGTCCGTTGATTGTGAAAGATTACACTTGAGAGTCGAAATACATCTTTACATCACACGTCAGTGGGCACTGAGCTGTCTTCAAAGTAACACGGATTAGACACACGCAGTTTCCTTTACGTAATTATGTCTGCGTTCTTGCTGTGATAGTGAAAGACTGAAATAGTGATCTTCTGGGACTTTTGCATGTGTTCGGACTAATTTGGTGTTTAGAGCTACTCGTCTTTTTCACTTAGCTCTTAATTTTTTGGCGTCCATGGCTGTATCAACACTGAATATGACACCGTACTTCACCGGATACTCTTTTCAAGGTAAGCCTTCAGATCTTATGTAGTTATTTCCTATCATATAATTGCTTTCAAATACTTTGTGCTTTATATCAGTGAGTACATCTGTATTTATTTGTTTATGTGTATTGTTTATTATTTGATTTGTGTACTTTTTCATATTTAGTACCTACCTGCTGATCAGTTAGGTTTTATTTACAGCAATATAAATGCTAACAAGTGTCTCACAGAGAGCGTCTCTAACATGAATATTTTTATCAATATTTTATTTAGTTTTATTATTATAAAATGAAACATTATGCTTTGATTTGGATTAGCAATTAATTGGCCAATTTGCCCTATTAAAATTGTATTTCTTCGAACAACTAAAGCATCAGATTTATTCAAATCAATTAAACTTCAAATTACGACTCTAAAACCACAACAGGGCCAATAAATAAAACATGATGTTTCACCCATGATTAGCTGACATTTAGCAGCTGATTATGTGTCGGTTATACTAGTTGGATCTATATTATGCCATAAACACAGACAACCGCTGTTTCGGACTAAAGGGCCCGAAACGATCATAAAACTATAAAATCACGAAGAAATTACAAAGTGCCTTTTACAGCTACCAATATAACAATATTTCATCTTCGCGCGTCGGGCACAGGGCAAACGAATAAATATAGTCTACTTTTTTCTTGTTTATAACTGAACCTTGTTTAGGCTGCACTTTCTGGAATGGTCAAGGACCGTAAGCTATAGAAAGTGGTTTGTCTCTGTCTCAATAAAGAATTTCTGTCACGACTGATCTATTGTCATACCAGTCATTGTCCGAATGATCTTGATCCTAATTGATAGAGAATAGAGGAAGCTGATAATACTTTAATATTACTTCATCTAGCGATATTTTGAAATTATCGCTTTTTTCGAAGTTATAAGAAGGCCTATTGTAACTGTTCTAAGAAGTTACGGTTATAAAACATTTTTTTTTGTTCACCTTTATCGCATTTAAAAACATGTATTTTCCTAACCAACTAACATAATTCCGAAATAACTACACGCATTCATACAAATACGCAAAATTAGTCCTTCACTAAAACAAGATTGTACTGATTGTACAACAGTGGCTTGCTCAATAGAGCCAAATGTGAAAACCCTTTCTGAAGAAGAAAATACAAAACAAAAGTTGATAACTACCTACCATTCGAAGATATTTGTAGAGACTGTATACAATTCTTGCTGTTAAAATTTAGAAGAAATTATTACCCGTCATAAAATTACTGAATAACTTTTGTTTTCTAAGCGTCCTGCCGTTTCTCTGTATCGACGTTTATTACCGGCGACATTTTTTTACGGACAACTAGTTTCACGGACAACCGTTCATAAATAGTATCTACTTCTGTATACATTTCCGTTTTTTGCTGCAACTACAGTTCCTTGTACTATTTTAAATGTTTCTTTTCTAATTCTGTGTCTATATAAAAACAATTACTAAATTTGACAACTGCTGTCAGAAAATGGTTGGTGTCCGATGTTATTATAAGACTCATATAGTACGGAGCGTTATATTTCATGAGGTTTTAAATTAAATATTCCATTGTTTCCCCCGCGGCTGGACTTTAAGATCGCCTCAAAGGCTTACCGTGTATAAATAAAACGAATACTGGTCCAAAAAGCTCTTGCACTGACGGTTTTACACATAAATCATTAGCATACGAAAACATTTCGACTGCATTGTTAAAAATGTCGCTTCGACTTATGACCTGTTTCGTCTAAGGTAAATTAAAAAGAAAGAGATAAACATATTTGAAAGGGTTGGGAGAGGAGAGCCATAACATTAAAGAATGCCGACGACATCGGTATGGACACTCAGTTTGATAATTTTGTTCTTATTATATTTTAATAACAACTTATGGATAAGTCATTTGTTCTGAAGGCTGCATAATCTTTAAATAGTTCAACTTGTAGTTTACTTAGTACCTATTAGCATAACTAGGTATTAATTTAGGAATAAAAAATAGTATTCAAAATATAAAGCTATAAGCTACTACTTATAAAAAGACTTTTAATGACATAAAAGGGAAAAATTGCCTTTGAAAAATGTTAGTTACGTGCTTTTCTTGTATGAGTCATGTTTGGTATGTGCAAGCGGCGTGGCGCGGTAGGCGTGCAGGCCTCTTTGAAATATTAAAAAATGTCTCGATTTTTAATTCGAATTCAAATTATATGACTTTCTGAAGTACGAGTATAAATCGGGATTAGTGTCTTATAAGTCCATCTGATGTGCCCGTGAACATCACAAAACGTTTGTTCAAGCTTTTGCTTTAAGAGGATGAAAGATTATTTACAAATATGCGGCCATTTGTAATTTGTAGAAATTAATTTTGTTTTTGTTTTGAATTATGAGCTCCATGATTAATGTTATCTGCTTACGTGCCTACAATTTATAAAAGCCGAAGTATCACATTGCAGATTTATCTTGAACATTATGTCTCATATGAGAATTTTCTAATGCCAAGAGTTAGTGCATAATGATGCATTTGCGTATAGTTTAAGTATGGAAGTTAATGTCGATATTAGTTGGCATAATATCTGCGATGAGTGGTGCGCCGCGATCAGATGCGCCCGCGGCTAGGTGACGGCGATGAAGCGCGATACTGATCGCCAATGCGTTGCACCTTGTAATTTTCTCCGCGAACGAGAGTGCATTTTTCATAAATCTTTTGCTATAAACATTTTAGAGGCCGCAACACAAGATTTGCGACAGCTATAACGTTTGCTGTTAATTACTCGGATCAGTCATAAATTCTCTTCTCAATTAGAGTTAAACAGTTTTCGACGGAGCCAATTATAAGAATGATACTACCTACATGACGGTGCATTGGATTTCTGACCTTTATGTGGGGTTCAGTACCATAATCAAGGTTTAGTCACATTCATATCACGGGCCGACAAGCGGTGCACATCTCGCGCACACGCACACATCTTGCCGGCGCGCCCGCGCAGATCAAAGGCACCGACAGGCTCTTTTAGCCGCATAATATGACGCGCCCCCCGCCTCCGCCCGCGGCCGGCGAAATGCCTCACCGCCCGATCAACCTTCAGGGCGCTTACTTGCCATTACTTATGCCGATCTATTAATAAACAAATTGATATAACGGATATTTGAAGCGGGACCTTTGATTTAACGTCATGTTGTATTAATCAAAATCAGTTTATTAGATAATTTGCTTATGAAATACGTATTACGAAGAAACTCAAAAGAGCCTCCTTTCGAATAGATCTGGTTGTGATCATGTACTAATTTTAACTTGGCTCATGACTAACATAAGACAATTATGACCAATTAGCAACCCAAACAATGTATGAGTCACCAATGATTTGCTTAAAATAATTTCTGTCTAAGCTAATCGAATCTGATTATCAAAACCGAAGTCATCGATACACTCGCTTAGGTGTTGAAACGTTTTAAAGCGATTATCAGATTAACCGCGGCCCATGAGATCAGAATCAGAATCTAAAGAGCCGAGGGCGAAGCGCCTCTTTGTCGCAAAGACACACCTTTCTCTTACACAATCATTTTTTCCTTTTAATTATTACATTCCAGTTTCAATTTTACTTGTGGGTTTTTATAATTGCATTGCATTTGGCTGTCGGATTAGTAATTATATTAACTACAAGATTAGAACTGGTTCGAGCTTTGGCTTTCTAGATTAATTCAATAATTTGGAGCACCAGGTCATGTTATTGTACTTTTGTTTATACCTGACTGACATTAATTGATTTAGTACAATTTATTTGATTCATTAATTAATTGGACCAAGAAACATTTACATCTAGACTTGAATATCAAAGGAATAAGTCATATCCATTTTATTGTTAGATTTCTAAATCATTTTCATAATTTCAATTAAAGTATTTACTAAGAGCAACCATTAAAAGAATGATCAAAAAGTTACTATGTTGAACAGTTTAAAAATGTATTCCTTTATCAAACTCGAAATAACACTTTCTGTAGTAGTTAAAATTTTTAAACTAAACGATATTGACATTATCTATTTGCACAAGTGTGTTCACATCTGCCATTTTCATCTGCAATATATCACTTATTTATTTTCGATATCATCTCCGAAAAAATAGTATGAAATATTACAACCTTGCTATAATCACAATCAGGCTTGATTGAACCAAACAACGCAATCAATTTAAGGTATTTTTGACGCACAAACAGCTACGGGTATATTTATTAGTTTCTTAAGCGAAATCCTTTGTCCAAGCGGCAAGTGACGACGTCAAAGAGTCCATTTCGTGCAAGAAAAGAAAAGAATCCGTCAAATTAGTACATAACGCGTTATGAATACAGAATGAGGTCAAACAGGGCACTCTCAAACATAGCCTATTATATTGAAATAAAATATTCAGTTCCATTCATTACCTACGTAGGTACGTACATTATATTCAGCTCTGACATGCCGAAAGGCGTTGCCTCAGTTTGAACAGTTGGCAACGTGTTCAATGGGGCGACTCGTGTTTTAACAAATTAGAAAGAGTTTTGTGTTCCTGCCGGCCTAGCTACAGTTCCACTTGCTGAGATGTGGAATTCAGAGTATATGTCGCATAAAGCTGGAACTAAAAAAACTAATTTTTTATATTTAAAATTATCTGACCTACTTTCATTAAAATCATAACATTTTTTTTTATAAAGAAGCACGCTTGAAATAAAAATTTCACGCCATCTACAAAGTAAACAAAATTCAGAATTTCCAAAGTCTGACCGCGACGGGTATAAGTCGGTATTTGAGATGTAACTCGTATGAGAATATAATAGAATTGATTTGATATTCGATTGCTACATTTAGTGGCGGAGCGGCCACGCGACCACGGGCCACACAGAATACTTCGAAGACTTGAAGAAGGCTTAATGGAATGACACAGCCTTTGTGAACGCCGCCCAATTCTAATGCCTATTCAGATGGCATTTCACCTCTCTTTGTTGTTTGATTTCGGATAGTAATAGGTTATTTTATTAGTGTACAGATGATTTTTAACGAGAAAAGAAATCTTGTATCGGTATGAATCGTTATATTTAGTTTGGCAATGAAATGGATTACCTCGTTATTAATGCGGACCATGTATTGTTGGAAACTTTTTGTTCATCCAATTAGATTTTGTATGCTCTGTGCATGCTTCGTTGCGGATTTAAATCGCTCTACATATTATTGCAATTTATTTTTCACTAGGTTTGCCCTGCGACTCTTATTATAGTATTATTGTACTTCTGTTTTTGTTATGATTGGGAAAATAATTTGGCTCGAGACCAGTGTTAAGCTTGACGGCACCTCTTCGCAACTAATTCACGACATTCCACTAGCGCTAGGCTACAATGCTGAGTATGTAGTCGTTTGTGCCGCTCTCACGTTAATGTAAACAACCACGAAAACATATGTTTTATTTTCCTAGACAAATGTGTATACCAAAACAAACAGACTTTTGTACTTGAAAAATATAAAGGCAAAAATATACATTTAAACATAATTCGAATTTGCAACTAAATATATCGTAAGTCTACCTACGACAAAAGTTAGACTTAGCTCTCCAATTATGTATAGGTATTAATTGTCCAATGCGTAAACTTCAAACACTAATAAATCAAGTGTATGTGTATGAACGTTCAATTTCTAAAGTTGTTACATGTTAACAACATTGATGCACACGGACGCATCGCAGCGGTGCGGCGTAGAAGTGCGTACAAAACGTGTTGTAGCTTCATAATTTGCAATACGAAGGCAAAAACGACTGGAACATTAATTAGATTTCCTGAACTATGACCAGGTTTCGCAGAACCCACTCGTCGTACAGTTATCGTTGGTACAACTCATGTGGAAGGAAAGCGGCATGGCGTGTGACGTAAAGCCCCATATAAATTTTACTATAGGCACATTAATGTCGCTACGTGAAATTGATTTGCAAGCAGAAACATATTATGATTGTGAAAACGGGGTTTACGATTTATTTACACAATACGATATCGACTTAAAACATTATAAACTATCACTGTACCATTGTTATCAAGAAGTTGCGGCAAGTTCGCCAATTGTTTTAATTTAACTACAAGAAATACATTCGACAAACATTACTTATCGACTTCATGTTCCATCGAAATAAATAAACATCTGACATGAAGTGAAAGAGCGGTTATTTAAGTCCTTCATGAACTTGCAAGAGTTATTCTAACTGGTAAATAATCAAAGCAGTTATACTGTGCCCAGGTGTACGTCGAAGCCTGGTATGAGGTCGAGATATCTTTACGCCTATTGCGCTCATAACTTTTATTAGCCGTCATTCCCGTGTAGAACCCACTGCTAGTGTAATAGTAATTCCCTAAGACATCAAACGTTTCAACAATATAAAGTGCAATACATTGAAACAAAGTGCACCATTTCAGTTCATGCCGATTAGTGCAAATCAAAGTGCAACATACTTTTGAGGCGGTTTTTAAATTAAGAAATTGAAGTTGTACAAACAGAAAATGAATTTCGTCATAGCAAAGATGGAAGGTTAAGAAATTCAATCTGTATCCGACAATGGAAGTGATAACCCGAAAGTACTACGAAGGTTGATGAAAATGTGATTGTTAATTAAAGTTGACACAGAAATGCGAATGGTGAATTCAGAATCTTCATTTATTCGGTCACGGTTTGCCTCTTACGTTTAGCATTAAATGATTGACTCTGTTTCAATTTCGTCTAACACGAACGCAACGGTTGAACGAATCGGAACACGATTATGTGATTGTGAGAAAATTTTATACTTCAACGGTGCAACGGTGTCTATGTCTAAGTTTAGTGTGTGATTATGTTTCAAGCAGACGAGACTTGCTTGCTATGAATAAAACGCGTGAGTAAAAAATATTGACAGATAGGGTATTGATACATTCGGCTACTGGTATTTCGACGTCGACCTAGTGACTGAGTTTTTTTATGTCAATTCATCTTTATTTGCAGTGCGTAACATTAACGTACCACCCTCGTAGCTGTTATTGTTGCGCTCAACTTGTGCATGATCTGAGAGCACTTCCGGACGATTAGTTTTCAATGAATGTTTGAATTTGTTGTTAACTTCAACTTCTTTTGCGTTAATAGCGTTACAATATTTGCGAATTCTATTACGCATTGTGCACTTGAGATGCTCTTTGTGAATTCTATTGTGATGTTTTCGTCAATTGCGTGTTTGACTGATCCTGTTAGGTCGGTTGCAAGTAGAAATTCAAATCACGTTTAGCAGATTTTTTTGACAAATTCTATCCATTCATATTTTTCGATGTGATTCTGATTTTGATTAAGGATCCTATTATTATACTAGGATTATTAATAAAATTATTAAAGTATTGAAATATGGAAATTTATCTTTCAAAGTCATGAATATAATACCTATATCACCTTAGACAAAAAATCAATGGAGCTATAAATATGACGGTTATAAACTATCTCGCCAAAATGAGAACTATATTATAATAAAGTGATACATTACTACAAAGCCACCCACATTTGTATAGCAGGGTTGTTATGGACACGTTATGCGTCATAAATATTTCGGGAACATAAAATTAACACTCAAAAACATGGGCTTTCGAGGCACCGCAACGTCTACGGCCTCCTACAAAAAATATGGGGATCGCTTGCAGAACCGCGGCGTGACTCCGGACACCACAAAAGCACTTCATTATAAAAACAATAATAGTTTTACTGTTCACAGAAAGAAGGTTCAAAATCCGATATTCTTTACTACTTTCCTGTTCGTTCGGGAGTTTGTATTCATGGATACAGTTATTAACTTTAAGTTGTTTGTGTTATGGTCTACTTTTGATTGTATAATTTATATCCGTATCGGTTTCTTGTCTTATCAAAGGACATACTTGTTGACATGTTGTCTAATTGATTGGTGGTTCTCAGTAGGGGTCTAGGGCCTTACATGAGGCGGAACCTTTGAGGAATTATTTGAAATTGATAAACTATAAATGCCTTCACAAGTGGAACATGCCACTGTAACATATTTTTTTAACTAGTATTATGCGGTCGGGGTTTAATACAGTCAGTTAAATAGTTTCATGATTTCGGTTTCGTTTTACAAAATGTAGATAATAATTTCTTCAACATAAAGAAAAAAATAAAAAATAAGAAAAACGCAAATGAGTAACTGACTGTTAATTGATTTGTGGTTATTTAATAAAAAATATCCTCACAATCACATTAATGGCATAAGCTCTATTGTATAACATGTATAGCTGCTTGATATATTTTATCATCATCTCGTTCCCAATAGAAGTTAACATGCATGCACGAGGCGTTGCAAAAATCGACGACTGTCGGCTTCCTTTGACGTTAGGTGGTCTCCCAACCACCGGCCGCACGAATGATGTGATTATAATAGCGACACTTTACGCACACATAACCACATTAATATATCCAGAAATAATACAATTTATATTCCAAGGGATTTTATTCGCAAACACCATTGAAGCCGCCAACTTAATTACCGCTCACGATACCCATCGCTATAAAATACCAATTAAAAATTTGATGACTTTCTTTTGACTGTTGAAAATAAAGAATGATTCATCAATCTCTGTGAATTCTCCACACAACAAGAACTCGGGAGAAACTATTTCATTTAATCTAGGAATAACATATATTTTTTGTGAGAACAGAAGTCGATACTCGTAAAATGTAACAAGTCGATCCCAACAAAGGCCAGAAATAGTTTAAGTGTTATCGTTTCTGCTTGACCGCACTCGTGTAAAAGAAATTGGATACTCTTGCTTGAGAACACTGCCAATGAAACGTAAAATTACGAGGTGATCGAGGCCTACCGATGACGTAGGTACATATTATTGTAGAGCGTGTAGGAGCGAGCGACGTGCAACCGTGCCGCAGCTTTGTGATCCATAATGTATTGTTGCTATTCATACTTTACGCATTATTTGAGTTTAATATAGCTACTGGTTGGCCTACTAATACAGATCCAATATAAAGACGAGCCTCCATTCGGGCGACAGCACCACAAAACATTTCACAATAATCTAATATATTGATGTATTTACATCTATAAAAGACGGAGAGTACGCCAAAGAATCAGGAACATAAAGAATACTGGAATATATTCTTCACGAGTAGAATACACACAATCAGAGGGCTTAGCTTTTATAGCCAAGTTGATTCGCAACTGGTTTCCATAGACGTTGTCTGTTTATGTTCATTTTAGTGAGTTAGGAATCGTGTGGGAAAACATTAAATATTAGAAGAATGCTAAGAGTACTTAATTCTGCAGGTCAGGGTCGTATGAACCAGTTGGGTGGCGTGTTCATCAATGGTCGTCCGCTGCCGAACCACATCCGCCTGAAGATCGTGGAGATGGCAGCGGCGGGAGTGCGGCCCTGCGTCATCTCGCGCCAGCTTCGCGTTTCTCATGGCTGCGTCTCCAAGATCCTCAACAGATACCAGGTGAGGAAACTTTTACACATCCGCACACGTTCGAGTTTATGGACAAAAATTATTTGGATTTGATTTTCGTTTTGAATACAATAGAAAATGTAAGACTAAAAGACTTTATTATTGTCACCAGGAAACGGGTTCCATACGTCCCGGTGTGATTGGTGGGTCCAAGCCAAGAGTTGCGACTCCCGAAGTTGAGAACAGGATAGAAGAGCTAAAGAGACAAAACCCAGGTATATTTTCCTGGGAAATTAGAGATAAACTAATTAAAGAAGGCATTTGTGATAAAAACACAGCGCCATCTGTGAGTTCCATTTCGAGACTAATACGAGGAGGCAAAAGGGATGAATCAGATCCTAGAAGAAATCACAGCATTGATGGTATTCTAGGTAAGTAATAATACTTACCTCGGATTGGTAGACATTGTTTTGCATTATTGAATTGATTTCAATTTGCAATGTTTTCAATAACAATTCACAATGCGAACAAACATGTTGCAGTGACCTTAGGCAGTCTGCCGTATCAGTTGGTAGCATAGTTTGAAGGAGCACTTTGCCGCTTGAAAAGTAATACCGCGTTGTGTGTTTGCATAGAACTTTATATTGCTCTAGTTTGTTGTGCTGCTCTCTTGATAAAGAATTAACTGTGCTGTGGTTTATTCTGAGTCTATTATTTCCACGTGCAAGGTCAACGTGGATAGGTACCGCTGAGTGTTTAGTAATATTTCAAAGTCCCTGACAGATTCAATTCAATAATTTAAAAAGTGTCTGACGAAACCTTCGACATAATGACGCGTAAATAACTCGCCGTGTCATCGTAGTCCTTAACGCTGATTCGAGACCATAATCACTTAATTTAGTTCAAAGCATACTATTATTATAAATTTATTCTTATAATGAGACTGTCGGAACGTTTGCAAACTTCACAAAATGGCGTATAAAGTTAATAATCCACGTAAAAGTGAAGCGGGCGCGGCGCGCGCGCACGCCACGGCAGCGCCCCTTGTGTCGGCTTCGAAATTGTAGGTTATAAAAATGAAATTAGTATCCAAAGGTGTTATTATCCCATCGCGTTTGGCCGCGGGGCTTGCATTACGACAATCTGTCCGTACTGCACGTCTTGTGCCGTATAGCTATCCAATATAAAATGGCGCTCCTAATATCCCGGTTCAGTGACGGAGCGCGGTTTTGCCGGCGAGATTCTGCGCACCGATAAGATTATGCATATTAAGTTGTGCGCGGCCAAAGTAATATCTACACTGGAAAAGCGGCCCCCTTTACTGCGCGAGCTCGCGTATTGAAAATTTGCTGTTCGTGCCTGTCCTGCGACGGCGGGTAACGGTACATTTTGGTCGCGAGTTTTTCGTGGAAATATTTGCATATCTACGCGCGTACTTTGGGAACATCGGCCGTTGATTATTATTTCAGGGTCCGAACAAGTTTTGTATATTGAAAATTTGCATACTTGTACTTTTGTTTATTTTTCCTTTGTAAGTCCATTGTACAGATCCACCCAAAAGCATGAACAGCAAAAAAATATTAGTTGGTTCCGACGTCTCATCGGATGTTCATAACACGAGATAAGAACGTGATCAAGTTGTTCTCTATAATCTAATTCCATTTTATTATCAGCTAGCATAAAGTAATATTTATTAAGGCCCCGAAGAATTCATTTGAGGCTAGTAGAGGCGTAGTGTAATGTGGTTACGTTTAATTTAATCGTGGCCGCGTGTGGTCCGCGCGGTAGTCCAATATAATCGACGTAAAACAAAAACAAATGATGTTAGAAAGTCGCAATAAAAATTATTACGACGACGACAAAACTCATGTTATTTCAAAGTCATCTATGGGACTGAGGCCATTTGGAACCTACTTACACTTAGAAACCGTGGAATTATAATCCCTCGATGATATTAATTTAAGCTTCATTACTCCGTACTTGTCGCCTTACATCAACAAAGTATTTTTTATTCATCAGGTCCATCATCTTGTGAAGACTCAGATACCGAGTCGGAGCCAGGAATCACATTGAAGAGGAAACAACGAAGGTCTAGGACCACCTTCTCAGGAGACCAGCTGGAAGCTTTGGAACGCGCTTTCACCAGGACTCAGTACCCTGATGTATACACCAGGGAAGAACTCGCACAGAAAACCAAGCTTACTGAAGCTAGAGTTCAGGTTTGTACACTTAAATTGAAATATTTAAGTGCTTACAGAATAGTTAGTTATTTTTCCAGTAGCATTTTAAGTCATTTGCGTGATTATGTTCTCATCTTTGAGTATAATGAACGATCCTATAAATATTAAACCACCAGTCAATGTTTAAACACGTCTTATTAAACCTGTAATTTGTTTTCTCAAGAGCATACGATACAATGAGTATCGGTAGCTAACCCGAAACAGGTTGGGTGTATCAATGATAGATGAACGCTATCAAACAATCCCATTGTTGGCCACACTCACTTCCCGCCCCTACAAAAGCGTGGCACTAAAAAAACATAATTACCTTTATAATTAATTACAACAATAGTAAGAGCTACCATATGTTGTTCATCGCTACCGATGTTTTATCAGTTTTTGTTCAATTTGTTGCCCCTCGTAATTGTAGGCTTCTATAAGACAGTATAATCGACTTACCACTGTAATTATCTATTGATGAGTTGGGAATTCGTAATATTTATAACAGTATCAATCGCAGCTACTGTCAAAGCATCATAATATTTTGCTCGCATAAATTCAAATCATGTTTTTTGCGGGGCTTACGATCGTAGCCTTATAAAGTGAACACTTTGTAACAATATTAATTATAAATGTAATTAACTGATTGGATTCCTCGTACAGATTGCATTGAGCAATCAGTAATGTTTAATTATTCTTAACAAGGAGTTAATTAAACTTTGTTTTGTTTAGGTATGGTTTTCTAACCGAAGAGCTCGACTTCGAAAACAATTGAACTCGCAACAACTGAGCGCCTTCAACACCATGTCTCTGCAGTCAGCGTTCCCATCAGTACACCAACAATACGAGCCTCCATCCACTTTCAACGCACAATGTGCATCTTGGCAACAGTCATATTCATCAGCGTTGGGTACCAGCTCCGTCCTTAACTCCGCTCTAGCTCCTTCCCTACATCAATCAGCGTTAACTGCTCCTTCTGTATGCCAATCAGCGCTTGCAGCGTCCAGTCTCCATCCCCCAACTTCAAGTTCATTCTCCTCCGGTAACCTAACACCCCTTTCCCACTCTTCAGAACTTGCTACACCCTTGCAAGCACCTACTGAGCCAACCCCTCCGAGCTCGAGTCCAACCACGACGAGTCCTTCTGCAAACCAGAGCAGTGCGCTCACTTACCAACATTCAACATATGCGAATCCAAGTGAACCTATATCTCACCCGTATGGTTACGGAGACTACTCGAAGCAAGAGCACGCCATGTCAGCACACAACCACTGGACCACTAGGCAACTCAGCGGTCATCCGCAAAACAAACTCGCAGAAGTCAGCGCCTGGCCTGAAAACTATAGGTAAGTTGATTAATTCTACTTTCAATTTATCTTGACGTTCATATTAAAAACACAGTTTCAAACATCTCAATAATCCCCGACGGCAACTAAGTAGTTCTATGAATTATTGATGTCAAGCTACTCATCTGGCTTAGCTTACACGGATGAATATGCAATTACAATAAAGTGACCTTTGCTGCCTACCATTTAAATAACTATCTATTATGTGGATACCAGATATGACTGTTATACTAATAGTAGGTTTAGGGCGCACGTTCACAATGACATCATTTCGTGTTAGTCAATATGCACAAGTGAGGAGTATGACGCGAGCTGTCGTCGTCATCTCGTGTCGTGAGCTCGTGATTTTCGACCGTGTACATAGGATGCGTGTAATGCCGCGTCCGGTGGCTATCGATCGGGCGTGGGCTCGATCGCAAATCGGGGTGCGTACGTTTTATTTCTTTTCACCTTCCTTTATCATTAGCCGAAGCGGCCGCTAATCAATTAAGAGTGTAAGAAGTCGGCCATTATACGCCGCGCGGGTGGTTATTACAGCGCGCGCCTCGTAATACGCCGATCCGATCGTGAACGCAATAGGGCTGCGAATTTTATAGTGATTTCGCATCGATTTTTAATTAAATTTTTACTTAGTTATTTTAAAGTATGTTACGATATGCGATGTATTATCGTCTCTAAAACCGGAGTTTTATAACAACAAAAAGAGGGTCGTAGAAAACATTTCGCTCGTGCCCGCGTCGATAGCATATGTAACTACCAAAGTGAATTTGTCGAATGACAATGTGACAAATACATTGTCGCTTTGTACTGTATACGGCGACGACATTTATCTGTGTTATCGAGACAAAGCACGTCTATAAACCTTACATTGGACCACACACAATATCTCTCCTTGTACAATAGAAGACAAACTAATAATATATGGGTTAGCTACGTTTGCGTGTCGGTATGTCTTATCTAGTCCTTTACGCGCGCTTGATTGACGTAACACTTCGTTTCAACTCTATTTGTTATTTTTGTCTGCCAAAAATATTGTATTGTGTGCCGAAAGTGTGGCTAATGGCCGTTTCATATCTATTTGTTGACGAAAATATAATAGAAGGAAATTCATTTGATGGAACCTTTGTTGGCTGTATGCGATGTTGCTGTAGCCGGAAAAGCTATATTTTGTACAATGTCCGTGAGTCACAATAAATCAGCAAGCTGCCTATGTATTAGTAGTGAGATACGTACGTTATTACGTATCGCTATAATTAACATGGCCACTTGGACAGTCATTGGCCATAAATAGCGATTGTGATTGTCACCTCATAGCTTATTTTATTTGTCGCTCCGGTGGTTTTACGACACTAGTATTTACTTGAAATTACGGTGTACTCGTTTACTGTACGTTACACACAATGAGAAACGATTAGTTATTTTATCGACGTTGAAATAAAAAAAAACTTTTCTGTACTTGCATAGCATATCGATACTCAGTCATATTAATCATAATTTTGACTCACCACTATAATTTTTTTGAATCGAAATAATATATACGAAATTGTACGTATCGTTGTTTTAAAGAGAAAAAGACCGCTTCATTATTACTGATATTAATTCCTCGTCGTCCGTTACTGAAATGTTTAATTAAATAATACATTTCATCCGCGTAATTGATAAAGGTAAACACAATCAGCTGCCCTTTATTTATTGAAAGCCATATTTTTTCGTTACAAATTCATCGAATTTCAGTAACATTTTATCCTCTTTCATTCGTTTGGAAATAGCAACAACATAGCGTTTGTTTAGGTTAATGGCTTCCAAGTAATGCTGGTCGATCATTTATTGATATTAGAAATCTACGCCGGTACAATACGTAGCGGATAACAGATAAACACACGTTGCTTTGTGGCCGGCTCGGCAATTAATGAGAGGCCGAACGTGACATTAGTGCAGTGAACCTAAGCATTATGCTAACGCGAACCCGGTATTAAAACTTATCTGCAGCTATTTGCATTCGACTTCCTAAACTGCAGTAAGCCTCGCGTGCGGCGCGGAGCAACCACCTTGCCTCGAACACTCTCCTCCACAGAAACACTCGCTCGGTTATTGTTTTCGCACGTGTTGCATTCTCATGTTAAAATGTTTATGCACATATTTACCATAAGGATACACTATGGTATGTGGGATGAAGTTAAGTAATAACTAATAACTAATAGTCGTGCCAACATCATCTAGCTAGCTCTCGGAACTACCTAGAATAATATACACAAAAGAAAACGTTTTTACTGCCTTTCAAAGTAATTATGCTATTCGGAGCAGCAAAATGTAGGTTTTCATTGTGATCGTAGCATTACGTGCGGCCTTCGTTGTTTATGAGCGATGTACGACACTAATGTACCTTAATAATGTATTAGCCACTGTATTAACTATAAATTAAAATTTTATTGCACGCCCGGTCACGAAATGCTTCCGAAAATCCCGCTGCTTATTGTGCATATAGAGACCTCGGGTAAATTATGTAGTTCGGTAGGCCGGTACGAGTCACAATTACAAGGCGGCATTAGAGCTTACACTGTGTTATTATTTAATTATGTTTTGTGTAATCGATAGATTCTCGATACTACGTTTATTCACCGAACGGAACCTATGAAGCTATTAAATCACGCAATACACCTCGTATCCCACGCTCAGACTTTTAATAAAATGCAATATAGGTATTTTATGTTGTAAAGAATATTGACAATATGGAAGACGTGTCTGCGACAGCAAAGTAAAAAGACCTAGAATTTATGTAGTCTTCTATGCATTGTTACGTGACGCCTACGTATCGGCTTTAGAAGTATCAGCTATTAATAGTTATTGGGTATAACGAGCTCCAATGTAAGGCAGTGAGCTAACAAGAATTATTCGATTTTTAATATTCATTTTTCTTTTGTTACAGTTCATTCTTCGGCACCAACGCGTCTCATTACGCCTCGCACGCGCATTCGCCCACCGAGGCCAAGTCTGGCTATCCTTACTTAGGACAACTTGGTGGTATGGACATGGGCAGAGTCCACTAAAGACAAATGCTTTATGAAACAGTAGTTTTAATTAAATTATATTTAGATTCAGAATACATGGTCCAGATCATATCGAAATGTGCCTTCATAATGCCGAATCTAATAATATTTCATTATTAAAGAATATTTATATTTACAACGACGCAATAAAGATGTATATTGTTATCCGATAGATATTTTCAGAGCCTTCATTAGCCTTTTCAGTATCATAGAGATGTATTATAATACGTAGTTTCATAGTATGTTTTATATTATAATGTTTTATGGTTCCTCAACTAGAAAGCGCACTTAATAAAAATGTCTTCTAGATTTTATCCCCTTTTAGGTATAGATCGTTGCTACATTTTATAAGTTGTTATATGTATATTGTATTTTAGATATAATCAATGTTGTAGTACTAGTAGTAAGCAATATTGAATTAATGTTTTAAAATATCAATACACATGTAACTTTTCTAATAATTAAATATAATATAGTTGCTAAAAGATAGACAACTGTTCTCTAGAATATTTTTGTTTGTACATAGTTTAGTGACGAATTAAATAATCTGTTTTCTTTCTGTTAGCGACTATACACTGAAAGATTGATCCTAAAATTGCCTTGAATAAAGTTGTGATTTTATATGAATAATGTATTTATTTATAGGTATACTATTGTAACTTAGATTTAGTTATGTATAGAGTATAAGCACTTTGTAAAATAACGGTTTACCCAGAATAAATGAATGCTAATGAAAATAGTCCGTGATTTTTTATAAGACTCCTCAGTCCTTCCGTTCTGATGTATCTACACCAGTCACTATACCTAGTACTGTATTGCCAAAGCATTATCCTTCATATTGTCTAGGCATTACGTATTGTTTAGGCTTATCTAAGGGATGTCAAATGCAGGTGGATGAATTCAATAGGGAAGCACTACACACGCCGATCATCGTAGCTTTGAGGTTTCGTTAGTCCGTTTATTTACACGTCGATGGCAGACCTAGCGGTATCCTCTTCGCCATATAGAATCATTCTTGTTAATGATACCTAGGTCTAATACTATTCGGTCTAATAATCCGTTTTACCCATTGATGTATCCCACATTATTTATTTTAGGCATGGTGGGGTACAATGAGTTAAGGGTAAGACGGGATTTTGCACTCACCTCACATTTGTTTAAGATATTAAGAGGAAAGCTGCACAATGCAGTCATTTTAGGACAGCTGAATCTATGTTTTCGGATAGGTACGTATGGCGACGCCTGCGACCGCCACTGCTGGTAGAACCCCGCGGTCGGACCAACCTATAAAGGGAAGCGCCGCTGACGCGTGCACTTCGCACGCTCAACCTGATTTCTAATGAAATCGACCTAATTTGTTGTACTCTGGGTGAATTCACAAGGAATGCATTATATGTAATATGCTATAGGTAGATATTAAGATGAGCACATTTATCGCATTGGGCATTAACCTGTAAAGATTAATGTAAGTGGAATAAATAAATATTAAATAAATATTAAATTAAAATAAATAAATATTAAATATTTTCCAAAATCTTTTGAAGTTGTACGGCAAGATTGTATTATTTTATTGTCATTATTTTAAAGAAACGTAATACTTGAGTATGGCGTAAATCGATGGATTTATTAATAAATCGGATAATTTCGTTTTGTAGTACTTGTTAAAGAGTAGAAAGAAGATTAGTAAGTAATACTAACTGGAATCTGGATCTGAACATTATGGAACATGACATTGTTCTCATATTATGGAACCAACGAAACAATGTAACCAAGAAATGTATTGTGAACCTGATAGAAAAAGAGTAACCTATGGAATTTCTTTCTCGCTTTCTCCATAGGAATCTACACTTTAGAACGAGCAAATAGCTTCACTAGAGGACTGGCTGAAAGACCTTTTTAATATTTCAAAATTTTATTGTGACGTTCAAAAGTGCCTTCTTGGTCTAATTGAAGTAAATGATTTTGACTCTTTTTTTAGAGCCTACTTTACTAAGTAACTTAACCAATTAAAGATACTAAATACATATAATTATTGTGTTATTATATCATTCGACACTAAAAAGTTATAGGTAAGTACGTATAAAATTATCTTTATGCAGGTCTTAAAATAAACTTTCTTAAAGACAGTGCAAAAGTTTCACAACTTAGTAAACCAAGTAGTTACCTACCCAGTTGTCTCGAATTCAGACCTAAGTTTTCACATGCAAACCCAAGTTCTTGACTTAAATATTTATGATAAGGAACTTGGAAAACTTACTTAGGTACTTAAGCAGAAAATGTGGTTGGATTTTCTTCTGCAATATTACTTGTTGGTAAAAATACAGGTAACGGCTTATGGCTGTTATATACTTTAAATTAACTGTGATGCATTACAGTTGAATTCATGTGGCCATTTTACGGTTAGTACAGTTACAAAGGTCGGTGGAAACTGTATGGTTTTGTGAATTTGTAACGATATGTTGTACAAATTACGTTCAACACTGAACCTACATTTATTGTATTAGAGAAGATTGAAAAGTTAAATAATATGATCGTGGAAGATTTGTTGTTGTTGAAACTTTAAAGGTTTGGTTACAAAAGACTACAGATGGATAGATGGGGGTGTGTAACTGCATTATATTCTAGTTCGATTTCTGGGTAAGATAAATTAAAGACTTTCCGGTTTGTGGAAAATATCGAAATAATCACGAATACTGTTCAGAGTCTGCAATTGTACCCCTACTATACTTAAGTCCCCGAGCGTGCGGAGCGTTGCGTTCCGCGCGTGTCTCAAAGAGCCATCAGACCACTACAGATGGGGCTCAATAGGGCTAATGCCGATACGGAGCCGCGGAGAACTTAGCGGGTTACCGGGGCTTCGGCTCAAAGTGCTGGAGGTGGAACGGGCTGAGGTTTAGTCAGTAAGAGTCTGAAGCCATTCGATGATTTTCCCCATTAAAAAAACTATACTTAAGGTATAGTTTGTTGATTGAAAACGTTTTTCCTTTCTTTTTCTTTTTTTCTTTTTGTTATTAGAGAAAGGTGTGGATTGAAAGATGATGTAGTAATAAGGATTGAAAAGGGAATGTTACGCTGGCTTAGACATGTAGAAAGGATGGATGAAAGTAGAGTAACGAAAGAAGTATACAGAGAGGATATGAATGGGGCCGTCGGTAGAGGGTGCCCTCGACGAACATAGACTGACCAGATTGGCGATATATTAAAGAAGGGCCAAATTAAAAGTACACTTGATCGTCGAGCATGGTAAAGATTGATGACTGTTGCGATTGTCGATGAAGCGAAAGAGGTATGTAAGATCGTCGTAATTGGCGTTCCATAGTTTCTGCCTACCCCCATGGGAGACAGGCATGAAGTTATGTATGTATGTAATAAAATATTCAAGTTATGAAAAGTATTCAAAGCATTGACAATAATAGGAATTCATACACACATAGATAATGCCAGAAGCTGTCTTTCAGCATTGTATGGGCGTAATTAGGCAGTCAAATACAAGCCTGGCATGTAATCCGACTAATTATGCTGAAGACTCATATATTACGTATCATACTGAGGGTGGGCGTTTCCACAGACAATAATAGCTTCGTACGTAAACAAAGGTGTAGCTGTGTGCACTAACAATGATAATATTTTTATATTGCAAAGAGATTTTAATGTAACACCAAGTATAGATGCAGACTTGAAGTAGTGTTGATACCAATATGAACACTACTTCAAAGCTAATAATATCAAAGGCACCTGTTGGTAGATAGACCAAAATATCAAATCTATTTCGATGTTATGTTTTGTTAAACAGTCTTTTAATCATCAAAAACACTCCTTTTATTCCCGAATGTGTAGGCAGAGGGTGCACATTTCGGTACTTTATGCCACTGTGCTTACAATGTAACACACACTTGTTACAATTTATGTTATGAGTCCCATGTAATAGGTGGTGAGCCTATTGCCATATACCGGGCACAATTTCAGACTCCGTGCTACTACTGAGAAAGTTTTAAAAAACCTAATAATACTTTGCCCGACCCGGGTATCGAACCCGAGACCCCTTGCCGCCCACTCGCACTTGCGACCACTCAGCTAACGAGGCAGTCCAACAAGCAGTTCATTTGGTTTACCAATGTATTAAAAATACAGATCAGTATGAAGACTACATCGTGTATTATTTCTACAGCCGTTTTATTTATTTATATATTATTACATTTCAGTA